ACACGATCACTTCAAGGATTATATAGACATGAGAATGTTGATTAAAAAGCTATAAATGATTTTAAAAAAAAGATTTTACTTTTTGCTAGGGACAACACCAATGGAATATAAATTTTGTAATCAGAAATCCAACAATTTTGTTCGACTAGAATATAACGCGGTGGAATTAGAGTAACAGACAATATATTGATTCAGGTTCGAATGTATCGGGTCAGATAAGGTTCTTTTTTCTGATTCAAAAATGCTTTAAAAAACCAGTTGTTTCAGCAGTAATATATCATACAGAAGTAGAAATTCCCTCTACAAATAGTTGCATTTAGCTGGTAAAACAAATTCGGTTTTGTTGATAGAATTGTTAGAATCTCAGAGCGCGAAAAAAGCTCAACCGAAAGATTAATTTTTCTGGCTTGTAAGGAACCCGGAGTTTATAATAACACTATCTAGGGTGACAGTCAGCTATGTCGATCACGAAAATCATAGCTACTTCACAGCCGACTCTACTGTTTCCATAAGCAATTAGCAAGGCTTTTTCTGTTCTCTGCTTTTCCATTTTACTTCTTATTTTTGAACCTCGAATCCGTGGATAAGCCAAGTGCAAGATCTTGTATAGGAGGTTTGTTCTTTCGAATTGTATATGTTTTGCTACCGAAAACTTGGCATTTATTTTTTTAAGTTCGTGCCAGGCATGAAATTCTCCGAACGCAATATTCTAATTTTTAGAACGTGATGGAGTTGCTCCATGTTTACTAATCGAACTTTGCTTAAAGGGTTCTTTGACATGCTGCTTACGGGCATGACGTCTGTTCGTCATGTCAGCGTTCTATCGTTTGGAAGTAAGCGCGTAAGGGATCAAAATCACAGATCTGCCTAAAAAGCGCCTTTGCAGTTACGTTGCTGAGTTGCTTAGTTATAACGAATATAAGGGATAGATGCTTATTGGTATAGTTGTTGATAGAGTACACTATTTGGATAAGAGCCCCATCGTCTCATCGTGGCGTGGGGGTGACTCTGGGTGTCGAACTGCGAAGTACAGCGGGGGTTTGTCCTCCAGCAGGGTCTCCCAAGCTGAGAAGGAGTTCGACGTTTCCGGTTTCCCGGATGT